TGTTTGAATAGTAAGAGATTGACATTAAATATTCACGATAAGTATTATTTAATATATAAATTATAGAAAATAAATAGTGATTACTTCGTACATCGTCTATAATTTGAGAATGACTTTTTCTCCCTGATGTGTGTGGCATAGTCAATTTTTTTCGACTTTCTTTGTTTCTCTCACTCTTTTCCTATAAATTTGAACACAACAATATATAAGAGGACATGCGCAATATTGAATATATAAAAGAAATAGCCAAGAAAAAATATAAAAAAGCAGCATAGTTGAGTTTCACAAGGTGCAATCAATTTCTATACAAGAACATTTTGTGTAGGTTGGCAAACTGGACATGTACAACAACATTATTTCTACCAATTAGAAGAAAGGGACAAATCAAAAAGAACTTCTAGTTGTTCTACAATAAGAAGTATAATCAAGGAAAACACAACTTTAATAATTTATGACAACTTCTATGAAATTCTCATTTAGTAGAGCAAATGCAGAAATAGAAATCTAGCACATACCCTTGCTTCTTTTGAGCTCCAATAATGAACTAATGAACGCCACTGATCTTCTTCAACTCTATCTGGACAATGAGCTAAACGCTCAATATCAGTGTTATATGGATCATATCCAATGGTTTTTGCTTCATGCCTTGATTCTTTCCATTTAGATCCAAATGACATCATCAGTATGCACTTCATGTCATCACTTGCGTCAGTATTTTCCTGTACATATATTTAATACACAACTCATTTATAAAATAAAATATAAAAACAAAAACATCTTAGTATATAGGTTTTGTGTATACTAAGAACCTTGATATGAGCCCATATTCTATCCTTGTACATACTAGGTACAAGCCTCCAATCTTTATGATTCAGTGGCGCTAAGATGCCATTTCGTGCTAGCACACCAAGTTTTGAACTCAATCTAGTTCCTTCTAACCCAATAACTTGACCATGTTCATTCAATTCAATATGTAAATTTCCACCATCTTTCCCCCATCCCGAGTGCATCATAGTGGGACCCCTAGTTCGCTTAGATTTCTCTTCACTCTCATTAGAATCTATAAATAATCAAAGATAAAAAGAGGCAAATTTATTATTTATATAAACATTATCTAACTACTTTATACTATGAAAGGAAGAATAAATATCATGATATTTAATACCTGGAAGATTTTTTGTATCATGTGATTCATCTCTTTCATTTTGTGGCCAATTTTGGGGCGGTTGAGGCATTGACATACTTCCGATTTGTTGTTTTTGTTGCTCAGAATCTATAAATAATCAAAGATAAAAAGAGGCATATTTTTTATGTATATAAAAATTATCTAACTACTTTATACTATGAAAGGAAGAATAAATATCATGATATTTAATACCTGGAAGATTTTTTGTATCATGTGATTCATCTCTTTCATTTTGTGGCCAATTTTGGGGCGGTTGAGGCATTGACATACTTCCGATTTGTTTTTTTTGTTGCTCTGAAAAATCATAAAAAAGCTCACCTTGACTAGAATTTCTCTGTCTTTTTCTTGCCATTTCAACAAAGTTCCTCAGCAGCTATGAATCCTGCCAAATTTAAAGTAGTTTCTACTATACGAAAGTATAAAATAATATCTAACTATCATGTCAAATAATAAGA